CCACCTGGGCTGTGTCAACCTTCACTCCTGTAATGCTTCCCACTTCCTGAGGCTGCCTCTAAATAAATACATAAAAATAAATACAAACAAAAAATTAAAACCTCCATCTTTAAAAGGGGGAAAACCTAGCTTTGTCCACTTGTCAGAAGGCTCATGCAAGCAAGTTCTGTAAAAAATCTAAAGTGGCCGGGCACATGGCTCACTCCTGTAATCCCAGCACTTTGGGAGGACAAGGTAGGGGGATCACTTGAGGTCAGGAGTTCAAGACCAGCCTAGCCAACAGAGTGAAACCCCGTTTCTGCAAAAAATAAAAAAATTAGCTGGGTGTGGTGGCAGGTGCCTGTAGTCTTAGCTACTCAGAAGCCTGAGAAATAAGAATCACTTGAACCTGGGAGGCAGCGGCTGCAGTGAGCTGAGATTACACCACTGCACTCCAGCCTGGGTGACAGAGTGAGACTCTGTCTTAAAAAAAAAAAAGAGCAATATATAAATGCAAGCCATTCTGTGTTTTATTTGGGATCTGGACTAGCCTTGATGTTAAACTCACAATTGTTGAATCTTTAGGTTACTAGCATGAATGCTTTTGTAAGGGAAAGATGGCGTTGAATGAGGGAGGGAAACAACACGGTTCCCAAATCATAAACTGAGTTACAGGCCCCTGATCACCACCACTTCTGCGTTATTTCATTTCTGTTCTCAACTCTCTGTAAGTCTCTCTGCAAAACAGCAGCATTGGGAGACATGGAATAGTTCTCATCTCACTCTTTTGTGCATGGTGGCGAAGGCAATAAAATTATTTTTCCCCTAAGCACGTACTTGAAAAGTAAACCATTTTAAAGTTCTCTTTATCTCTCCCTAAAGCATTTTCACCTCCAGAAGTGTACGTGTCTGAGCCATGGCTATAAAATCACATAAATTTATTTTTTAAATGCATTGTGATTTCTAGCCAGATTAATAATAACTTTAAAACAGCCGCTTGGGAAGCTCTGTTTCTTATCTATGATCTTTACTTTGTTTAAAACACATCTGAAACTCTTCTGGGGTTGCTTTCAGGATGGATTTATGAACTGCACAAGAAAATGCATTCTCTGGGTCCAAACTGGGTTTTAGATCCACACAGTGTTGCCCAGATGGGCCACCTGCATTACTGAAAGAATTAACTTCAAGCTGTTTACAGAAAGCAAAGCTCCAAGGAAAAAGGTTTCTCACCCTAGGGGATATCCAAAGAACAAACTTTGGGCTCAGAAAAGTTTCCAGAACTTTTCTTGGCAATGATAACATTGAACCATGAGGACAACCCAGAAGGTAACCACCCTTACTTATATATAAAATTTTAGATCAGCTTCTTTTAAAATTGGGCCTTTATGTTTTATAATTATTTTAAAACATTCTTTTTTCTGTAGCATGAAGTAATGAGAGCATCAGTTTTGTTTGTTTGTTTGTTTTGGCTCATATATTGAACCAGTGATAAAATGATACTAGAATTTGCTTTTGGGCAGATAAACTCTTAGATTAACCAGACCAATAATAAGCTGACTGTTTAGGCACTAGTGTTGCATTTTCTATCTAAGAAATGAATTTTAGTGGCGGCTTACACCAGTAATCCCAGCACTTTGGGAGGCCAAGGCAGGTGAGGTCAGGAGTTTGAGACCAGCCACCTGGACAACATGGTGAAACCCCGTCTTTACTAAAAATACAAAAATTAGCCAGGCATGGTGGTGCGTGCCTGTAATGTCAGCTACTTAGGAGGCCAGAGAATCGCTTGACCCTGGGAGGCAGAGGTTGTAGTGAACCAAGATCACACCACTGCACTCCAGCCTGGGTGACAGAGCAAGACTTCGTCTTAAAAAAAACAACCAAACCAAACCAAAGTGGAAAGGCCGCGCGTCTACTCGTATCAATGTGTGCTGACATTTAGGGAGTGGGGCAGATGCTCCTGTTACTCCGTGCCTCCCACACACACACACACAAAAAGACATTTCACTGTTTTGAATGAGAAAATGATTCTGATCAACAGTCTAACAACAAATGGACTCTGAGCAGGGTTAGGAGATCTAGCTGATCTCGATTGCCGCTGGGGAAATTTCATCCAGGACAAAGCCTGACTCCGAAAGTCAGCTCGTTAAAGTACATCATAAAACTTTTACTGTTCCTTTTGGAGACTTGGCTAAGCCAACCAGATAATAAAAGGCAGATTTATAAGCCTGGTGCCTGCCGGCACCTCTGTAATTCTAAATCGCTTGGATAGGCTCCTAGACGTTTTATTGGTCCTTAGCGGACCAATCACCAATAATGAAGGTCAGGCAGGAAGGCTCTCACCTTGTGTCCTTGACCACCTGGGCTATGTCAACCTTCACTCCTGTTACAATGCTTCCCACTTCCCGAGGCTGCCTCTTTAAGACACAGTCTGCCCTAGGCCCTCCAAAAGTTACCTTTGCAACTCCCAGGGAACTTTCTACATTTAGTTAAAACAGCAACAGATACAGAAATGGACACTGCACTGATCATTTGTTGTTACGACCATGCAGGCAAAATGTGAGTGCAGTGTAAGAGATGGCAGGAGGTGGTGTCACATAACAGCCACCATCCAGAAGGCCGACCCGGGGTATGCTGAGCACTTGGCCGGGCACAGGATTGCAGACGAGGAAGAGTCGACTTGGGAGGCCATAGTTACACATATTTACACTGCCTGCTGCCTGCTTCCCGTCTGCTGAAAGTCAAACTGGGGTATTTAGATGTGTTCTAGGGACTGGAGGAAATTCAGGGAACTGCTGAGCCTCCATTTCTTCATCAATAAAGTGAAGCTATTTACTGCATGAAAAAACATCCCTGAAGTTGTTTAAGGATTAATCAACCCCTCCCTCCCTTTTTCCTTCTCCCTTCTCTTCTTCTCCCCTCCCTTCTCCCCTCCCTGCCTTTCCATTTCCTTCCTTCCTTCCGTCCTTCCTTCCTTCCTTCCTTCCTTCCTTCCTTCCTTCCTTCCTCCCTCCCTCTCTCCCTCCCTTCCTCCCTCCTGCTCTCCTTCCCTTCCTTCTTCTCTCCCTTCCTTCCCTTCCTCTCCTTCTTTCCTTCTTTCCTTGTACACTGTAAGTCTGGCCCTGAAAACTTTTTGGGCCCTAGGGCCAAAATTGAGTTCCTATCTGATCCCCAAGATGTGATCCCTTCTTTTTTCTTCAGTCCTGGTGACAGGCGCGTGCGCGCGCTCGCTCTCTCTCTCGCTCTCTCTCTCTCTCTCTCTCTCTCTCTCTCTCTCTCTCTCTCTTCCTTCCTTCTTTTCCCTCCCTCGTTCCTTCTTTCTTTCTTTCTTTTTTTCTTTTCTTTTCTTTCTTGAGACGGAGTCTCGCTCTGTCGCCCAGGCTGGAGTGCAGCGGCTTGCTCTTGGCTTACTGCAATCTCTGCCTCCTAGTTCAAGTGATTCTCCTGCCTCAGTCTCCTGAGGGGCTAGGACTAGAGGTGCACACCACCAAGCCTGGCTAATTTTTGTGTTTTTCTTTCTTTCTTTTTTTAAGTAGAGACAAGGTCTCACCATGTTGGCCAGGCTGGTCTCTAACTCCTGGCCTCAGGTGATCTGCCTGCCTTGGCCTCCTAAAGTGCTGGGATTACACTGAGTGAGCCACTATGCCCAGTCTAGCCTTCTTGAAAAGGGCTCTTCCACCTTTCATTGCTACATCCCCAGCACCCAACTTAGGGCCCAGGTGGGGAGTAGCTAATGGCTGGAAGGGGAGGAGGGTACCATTTTGAGGAAGAGAAATACAGTTGTTCTGTGAGGCTTCAGCAAGTGCCATGAGAACAACGTGGTGGATGTAGTGGAGGCTGTTGAGTGCTGGCGAGTGCTCTGTATCACAGAGTCCTGACTCGACTTACAAGTACCATAGATCCCACACCCTTACTGAGCCTTCACTTCCTCCTCTGTCTAATGAAGCAGATGATCATTGCATGACGAGCCACCATTAAACTTAATGCTTCATCACTACAGAAGATCATAAAGGACGTAACCAGAGGCTTAAAGGATGTAACCAGATGAACACACCCTGTGTGGGACACTGTTTTGGATAAACTTGAATGTTCAGGTTTATTTAGGATGTTCCGATGCTGGAGGAGACACGTGCGCGCGCACACACACACACACACACACACACACTTTGTCTCTCTCTCTCTCCAAAAGGTGATCATTCTCTAAATATGTTTTGGCAACATTTTTAAGTTTATTGAGAGAATTGTATACCATAAAACTCACCCCTTTAAAGTGTGCAATTCAGCTGGACATGATGGCTCACACATGTAATCCCATCACTTTGGGAGGCCGAGGTGGGAGGATCACAAGGTCAGGAGTTTGAGACCAGGCTGTCTAACATGAAAAAAATCTTGTTTCTATGAAAATATAAAAATTAGCTGGGTGTGGTGGCGCATGCCTGTAATCCCAGCTACTCGGGAGGCTGAGGCAAGAGAATCGCTTGAACCCAGGAGGCAGAATTGCAGTTAGCCGAGATCGTAGCACTGCACTGCAGCCGAGGTAACAGAGCCAGATGCTATCTCAAAAACAAACAAAAGTGTGCAGTTCACTTTGTTGCTTTGTGTATATACACACACAACACACAGGATTAGAAATAGTGTCCAAGGTAAGTGCTCTAAGGTGTGATAATAGTGAGCTGAGTGAGAGGTGAAAGATTAGTGGTCTTATTTTTAATTTTATGCCTGTATTTTCCAATTTTCTATGATGTAGATGTTCTCTTCTTGTAGTAACGAAGAGTTCTAAAAGATAACTCACATGACTTACAAAAATAATCATGATGTATGTTCTAAGATTAAGGTAAAGAAAAGTAATATATAAAACAGTATATGCAGAGTAAGATCAATTTGTAAAACACATACACACTCACACACATAAATGCAAAGAAGAAAGGAAGGAAAACACAGCATTTGGTAAACTTAACAGAAAAGTTGGACAATATAATTCCAGAAAGGAAAACATCACTAACTTCTTTCCTGAGCCACATGGTTGAAATTTCTTAACAGTTTTCTTATAACATACATCTTTTTATAGACAAAAAAAGAGAGCAACAACTTTTGTTTTATTTTACTACAGGATGGTACGGTTAGCTGGGACTTATTTTCTTTTGAGATTATTCTGTATTTTCTGACTCAAATTGGGATTTTTAAAATTAATTAATTTATTATATTATTATTATTATTATTATTTTGAGAAGGACTTTCGCTTTTGTTGCCCAGGCTGGAATGCAATGGTGCGATCTAGGCTTATCGAAAACCTCAGGTGATACCAAAGTGCTGGGATTACAGGTGTGAACCACCACACCTATTTATTATTTTTTAAATAGGTCAGGATACTGCTCTGTCCCACAGGCTGGAGTGCAGTGGTGTGATCCTAGCTCACTACAGCTTTAAACTCCTATGCTCAAGTGATCTCCCACCTCAGCTTCCTGAGTAGCTGGGACTTCAGGTGTGTGCCACCACTTGTGACTAAAACTCCGTCCGTTTCAGGACTCCTCACGTACTGGTATGCGTCTCAGAGGGGATCACTCTCATTAGTGTATGTCTTTCACCTTTCATCAGTCACTTCACCTCTCTTACTGACACGATGGCACAGCCCATCTCTCTCCCTTTGGACTGGGCTCTCTTCCCCAGGTGGCCACTGATGAACATGAGTTGGATGAAACCAGGAATATAGTCTAGACTCCTCCTCCACTGCAACCCCTCGGTGTCATCATGGCAGGGACTGAAGCTGCCCCGCTTTCAAGTTTCCCCTTTCTCCTCATCACAGTGGACAGTGGCATCCGCGGTGGGTGACAGAAATCCCCTAAGGGAAAAGAGTAAACCGGATCAACCAAATCAGAGGAAAGGGTCTGCATGTGTAGATTTCGGAAGGTTGCCTGGGGAACTATGAATTCAGATTCTTTTCAAAGTCAGCGGTTTGGGTGGGGTGAGCCTGCAGGGGTTTTGCAGCATTTTGCAGCAAATAATTCTAGTATATTGTTCCCAGCACAACCATCTTCAAAAAGCAATAGCTGGCCACACGCGGTGGCTCACGTCTGTAATCCCAGCATTTTGGGAGTCCAAGGCAGGCAGATCACTTGAGGTCAAGAGTTGGAGACCAGCCTGGCCAACATGTTGAAACCCCATCTCTATGAACAATACAAAAATTAGCCAGGTGTAGAGGCACACACCTGTAATCCCAGCTACTTTGGAGGCTGAGGCACAAGAATCACTTGAACCTAGGAGGTAGATGGAGGCTGCAGTAATCCGAGATCGTACCATTGCACTCCAGCCTGGGTGACAGAGCAAGACTCCGTTTCAAAAAAAAAAAAAAAAGTGTGATAGCTGATAGTTGCTTAATATCCAACCATTGTGGAGAAGGTGAGCTGGGTGAAGGGTACAGAGCTCTCTGTAATATTTTTGCAACTTCCTGTAGATTTAGAATTGTTTCAAGATAGTTAAAAAAAAAAAATACTAGGTGGCTGGGTGCAGTTTGCAAACTCTGATATATGTCATTATTTTGTACTCTGCTGAAAACAAGAGAGACACAAAAGCATCTGTGTGCACTGGGCATCTACATACGTTTCTATTGTGCTCTTTTCACCCTATCTTCTGCCAGCAGCTCTTTATCACCCTCCAAGGCGGCTGACTGATATCGGCCATGCCGCTAAGTTGCTGAGGATACAGTCCTGCCACATAAATAAAGAAGCCAAACATTCTAAAGTACAGGAGAAGAAAAAAGAACAACTCCCCTCCCCTGGCATTCTTTAATTCATATTTTTGCAGGTGTTTTTGTTCCCCAACTGTTTTTTTAATGGGTTAATTTATTTAGCAGCAAAGATTTAAAAAAAAAAAGTAGAGGGGGGAGGAGGCACAGTGGCCACACCTGTAATCCCAGCTACTCGGGAGGCTGAGGCAGGAGAATCACTTGAACCTGGGTGGTGGAGGTTGCAAAGAGCTGAGATCAATTGTGCCACTGGCACTCCAGCCTGGGTGACAGAGCAAGACTGTCTCAAAAAAAAAAAAAAAAAAAAAGAAATTAGAACTAGGAGCAAACTCCAGCAAATATTCTTTATAGGACAAGCATTTTCACAGTACTTCCTATATGAGAATGACAATGATAATCCCAGGGACTACTGAGCACATGTTATGTACTAAGAGGTTTATGTACACTATGTGCATGATCTCAGCACATGAAGCTGCCCAGTGAGGTAAGTGCTGCTGTTATTCCTTCTTTAAGATACAGGAAATTAGGATTAAGTAGTCTGTGCAAGGCTGCAGGGCTATGTCATGGTGGAGGCATGATTCGAATCCTTGCCTCTGAGGACTCTGTGAGTCTGGCTTCTCCAGCAGCTTAACACCTATAGATGAGAAGAAATATTCATCAGTAACAATGCTCTAAAAGTGGAATTTCGAAAACAATCTGTACACATTGTTATCAGTTCTTAAATTAGTCAAGGTTCCTGTGACTGCATGGAGGGTGATGAGTAAACCTTTCTTCCTAGAGAGAGTTTTCCTAGGTTAAACAATGCTTTAAATTATCTACTCTGATTTGAGAGTGAGTCACCCCAGAGTTAGGGATTTGAGGCTGCAAGGTAGAGAGAGAGAAACTGAGCATTTCTAGGCTCTGGAAGAGACAGGTAGAAATGAAGTCATTCTAGATTCGAGATTATTTTAGATCGTTCTAGGGGCAGAATACTCTTCTCGGGGGTTCACTGAGGGAAGAACAAGGCCAGCCATAGGGTCTGATTAAAAATTTCTTAGAGTTCTGCAGACTTCTGTTAGCAGCTGAGACACGAAGGCAGAATTGGGGGGAAATTTGCTGTCTTAAACAATTTCCATATACTCTTTGCCTGTCTCAGAAGGACTAACTTTGAATTTCAATTTGGAAATGCACGATTTTTCCCCCCACTTGACATCAATACTTGATTGTTTCAACTCTTTTTAGAATTCGAAGGCAAGAGGCAGGGTGGGCAGCCAGCAGCCTTGTGGGTTACTGGCCTTCAACATGGTGCCCAGGGTTCAATGTCCAGGCTAAGGAGAAACGGGCAACCAAGGCCTTTGCTGTCACCCTGTGGGGCTGTGCAGGGACTTTAAGGACAAGAAATTTACCCTCCTCCCCTGAACTTTCCAGCACTTTCCAGCACTTTCCAGCACTGCCTGATTTACTAGGCCATGCATTGGACTGAGTTTTCCTAACTGCAACCTCATTTTGTGCACCTCTAGGAACTTCGGAGAGGTGGTGTCATATAAGGAGGGCACAGGAGACAAACCTGCCTCTCACGGCTATGTGGTTTTAGGCAAACTGCCTAATTTCTAAAAGTATCTGTCTTTTCCTGTGTAAAAAGCAGAGTTTTGTATCTATCTTGCAAGGCATTGTCTTGCCTTGACTAGAGATTCGATGTGCTACCACGACACTTTTTTGAAGACCAGTAATAATGATTATTATTCAGTAACTGGAGAGACTGAGTCAGGGGTTTGATCGTTGTCTCTCACACGTCACAATGTTTCCACTACACTCATATTTTACTTTATTCATCCAATAAATATTTCGTGACTTCTCTGTTCCAGGCACAATGCTGAGCATCAGGGCTCTAAAGACTTGGCCATGAAAAAAGCTGAAGTCCCCAGAAGAAGAGATAAGACTTGTACTACAAGGCTGTCCATCAAGGTAGAAAGAGCTACTGTCTGTTTTCAATAGATAAAGTGGTTGGTAAATAGTTTTCCAGGTCTGGCCCAGGCACAGCCGAGGTCCTAAAGAACCAATGATTAGTGAAACAAAGAAAGGGGCCTGGTTATCTTGAAGAGCCAACAGACATCTGGCAGAAGCAGTCAAGAAGAACCTGGGACTTCTGCAGTCCCTGGGGCACATTCAGCCTGAGCTGCACCCAATTAATCAGCCTCAGGACCAGGCCTTTCTGGCTATAACCACAGTGCTTATTGGTGGTTCTGTTTATGTCTTCCTAGACAGCAGACACAAACTTTCATTTGACGAAAGGCAACCATCACCCCCAAAGAGACTAGGAAGAGCCTCCCCTTCACATTGAGAAGAAAAGCATTACCCATTTAAGCACTCCCTTCCCAGCATCAAAAGAAAAGGGGTCAACAATTGGCATTCTCCTTTAAAAAGTTTCAGACCTAGGCCGGGCACGGTGGCTCACGCCTGTAATCCCAGCACTTTGGGAGGCCCAGGTGGGCGGATCACGAGGTCAAGAGATTGAGACCCTACTGGCCAACATGGTGAAACCCCGTCTCTACTAAAAGTACAAAAAATTAGCCGGGCATGGTGGTGCGTGCCTGTAGTCCCAGCTACTCGGGAGGCTGAGGCAGGAGAATTGCTTGAAACTGGAAAATGAAAGTTGCAGTGAGCCAGGATCAGGCCACTGCACTCCAGCCTGGCGATAGAGCGAGACTCTGTCTCAAAAAACAAACAAACAAACAAAAGTTTCAGACCTGGGACAGTGGTTTACATCTGTAATCCCAGAACTTTGGGAGGCTCAGGCAGGAGGATCCTTTGAGCCCAGGAGTTAGAGACCAGCCTAGGTAACAGCAAGATTCCATCTCTACAAAAAATAAAATTAAAAATTAAGGCCAGGAGTAGTGACTCATGCCTGTAATCCCAGTACATTGGGAGGCCAAGGCAGATGGATCGCTTGGGTTCAGGAGTTCGAGACCAGCCTGGCCAATGTGGTGAAACCCCATCTCTTCTAAAAACACAAAACTTAGCTGGGTGTGGTGGTGTGCACCTGTAGTCTCAGCTACTCTGGAGGCTGAGGCAGAATTGGTTGAACCTGGGAGGTGGGGATTGCAGTGAGCCAGGATCATGCCACCGCACTTTAGCCTGGGTGACAGAGCAAGACTCTTTCTCAAAAATAAAAATAAATAAAGAAATAAATTGGGGGGTGGTGATGTGTGCCTGTAGTCTCCTAGGTACTCAGGAGGCTGACGTGGAAAGATTGCTTGAGTCAGGAGGTTGAGCTGCCGTGAGCTGTGATCACACCACTGCACTCCAGCCTAAGGGACAGAGTGAGACTCTGCCCTCCGCCCCAACAAAAAACCCCAAAACCAAAACAACAACAAAAATGTTTCAGACCCACAGAGGATTTTTAGAACAGTGAATGTACTGTGTATACTATAATGGCGGATGTACAGCATTTGTTCAGAACCATAGAACGCGCAACACCAAGAGTGAACCCTCGTGTAAGCTATGGTATTTCTGAATTCTATATGATAATGGCATGTGAATTCAGTCATTGTAACAGAAGTGCCATGCTGGTGCCTATAAGGGAGGCTGTGCATGTGGGGGCAGAGGGTGTGCGGGAGATTTCTGTACCTCCCTCTTAATTTTATGTTGAGCCTAAAACTGTCCTAAAAATATAATCTTTCAAAAAAAAGTTTCAGACCTCCTCAAGAAATGGAGGACAGACGTCAGTTTCGTCCACAATTACTGAATCAGTGCCCTTTGCCTACTGTTTAAACCATCTAGGAGCGATTTACACAGTCAGGAGTCTTTCTGCATATTCCAGGGACTCCTGGCTGCACCTGCAGCCATCTTTAGCACAAGCTCATCTCCATAACAATGCACCAAGGCCTGGGAAGCTTCCGGGACTGTGGCTGTTCTGATGTGTATTCACCTTCAGTTGTATGAGAAGTGAAGGACAAACACTTTTCTATAAGGGCAAACACTTTGTTTACCATCTGGTAACAAACCTTCTGGTAAACAAAGTTTGCATCACAAATTGGATTACTCCCACTCCTTGCTTTTCGAAACCAGCCCAGAAACCGTGTACATTATCTAGCAATGACTAATTGACCTTATGACTCAAGCCTGAACAAAGGCCAAGGCAAGAGTTAAAAAATAATACGACTGGCTGGGCACGATGGTTTATGCCTGCAGTGCCAGCACTTTGAGATTATTATGTTAAAAAAAAAAAAAAAAAAAAAGAAGGTGCAGGGAAAACACTGCATTATAAAACAGTGTGAGATAGGGCAGATAAAAAGCCTAGTCATGTGTTATTTATAAAGTGATTATGTGGCTACACAGTTGACTATGAATAAAGGGAATCTAAGAAACTATTAGTGAACATAGTTATTATTACCTAATCTTGTTCCTAGGAAGCCAATGGAAGTTTAGAGTCTATATTTAGGCTGGCGGGCACCTGTAATCCCAGCTATTCAGGAGGCTGAGGCAGGAGAATGGCTTGAACCTGGGGGGTGGAGATTGCAGTGAGCGGAGACCACGCCACTGCACTCCAGCCTAGACCACAGAGTGAGACGGTCTCTAAATAAATAAATAAATTCTGAAATTATAGAAAATGGCCTGAGATGGTGAAGTTACACAAAACTTTACAGATTAAATGTCATAAGGGATGTGATAGTGGTTTGCTGCTTTCTGTGTAAGACAAGCTTCTGTTGGGGGATCATCCAAGTTCGGCATGCATTTTACACTGCCAGTCCACAAAAGGTCTTTATCTTCAACAATACAAACTTCCACAGTCACTCCCCTCACCTGTGCTGCAGTGCTCAGCTTTATATCCCTGCAGTCCCCCTCACTTGTCACCCCAGCTAGGGAGTTACTCAGGGTCAGGTAGGTGGAATTAAGTGTGGCTAGTGTTTCTCTACATGCACAGACTTAAGTCTCTGAATCCAGAGAGTTTAAGACTATCCTCAGAGTGGCTTAGTAGTCAGACTATGTAATTATGCTTTTCTATCCTAACTATGGCATAAAGAAATGAACATGCCCGGCTGGGCGCCGTGGCTCATGCCTTTAATCCCAGCACTTTGGGAAGCCGAGGCGGGTGGATCACGAAGTCGAGAGATCGAGACTATCCTTGTCAACAAGGTGAAACCCCGTCTCTACTAAAAATACAAAAAGTTAGCTGGGCATGGTGGCCCTTGCCTGTAATCCCAGCTACTCAGGAGGCTGAGGCAGGAGAATTGCCTGAACCCAGGAGGCGGAGGTTGTGGTGAGCTGAGATCGCACCATTGCACTCCAGCCTGGGTAACAAGAGCGAAACTCCATCTCAAAAAGGAAAAAACAAAAAAAAGAAAGAAAGAAATGAAGATGCCTTTCTCTTATGTTGCTTTAGAGAGAAATAGAGCTTTTTGGAGTGTTTCTAGAAGGTTCTACAGGTCAACACTAGTAAGCAGGCTTATCTGCTTTCCTACTGTGCACCTCTGTCTGTTTCTCCTCATTCTCTTCCACTCCTTCTGCACTATCTTTCTTCCCCTTGACTTAACCTCCTCATTAGATAAGACTGATCACATTTCAGCGTCATGGAAAAAATGGCACGTGAAACAGAGGCTACAATTGTTTGCATCTGCCATCTGGGGCGACATATACAGAAGATATATGTGTGCTTCCCTCTCTATTTATTTTAAATATAAAATAAATTTACGTTTAAAAGTAAAAATGAAAACAAATCTTCTAAAAAAAATTCTAAGTAAAACTGTTAACTGACAAATGCTGTAGTACTACAAAGGGGTTAGGGACACACCAGCACTAAACTGAGGCTTTTTTTTCTTCTAGAAAAGACATGAAAGAGATTGAAAAAAAGACGGCTGCAGGTGCAGCCAGGAGTCCCTGGAATATGCAGAATATATATGTGCATCCCTCACACAGTGATGTCAGCCACACTTTTCTACAAGTACTTGACTTGGTGAGATTGCCCTGTACTTCCAAGGTGGTGGAAGATCACGAGTCTTCCCTGAAAGGTTCCAAGCAGCATAGAGTGTTTTGTTTAGCGAATTCTATTTAGCATATATTATGTAGACTATTAGTAATAGTTCTAAGATTCAGGAATAAGCAAAAGACATCAGCCATGACCATTACACTCCTGTCGATTTTCAGTTGCTGGTCACTGTCGTAGTGGGGCCATAGTGGGACCTGGAGGGACAGCAGGGATGCACCGAAATTCATAGCCATAAAGGTGAATGGATATACACTGATTGCCATTCAGAACGTTTTCCAACCATTCTACTATAATAACCAGATAACGTTAAGTAACAGTGCTGTTAGTAGACTCATAACAAACAAAAGTTCACCAAAGGTCAAATCGGGAGACTTTATCTGGCATAAATATGTGAGGCTGTGTTCTCGCAGCAAGTGTATAAAGGAGATATTTCCTGGTACAGCTGCCTAACATTGACATAATGTGCCAACATCAGTGGCAGTGGGTACAGTGGGATGGGAAACATCATGTTCTTTTTACCTATGTGTCCACATTCTAATACAACATAGAGGTGCTAATGATGATGTCACACATAGCTAGGCGTCCCTGTGAGAGTCCAGACCTTGGAAAGAGTGAGATGCAAAATCACAATCTTGAGACGTTGAGCATTATAGGCAAGGCTTACGTTCAAAAATAATTTGTTTTCTGTTTTGACCTGATTCCATGGTGAGTAGAATACACTGGTCTCTAATTGCTTGGTGGGAGTGAGGGGAGAGGGTGTAATTTGAAGCCAATAAAGCTTTATGATCCTAGAGCTCTGGCTTAACAGAAAAAACACATTTTTATTACATTGCACAGTACTTTGTGTATTTAATTCTCTGTTCTCATCCATGCGTCACAAGGGTAAATCAAAGCAGAAACAAAATGCACTCTCTCGTCTACAGCAATCTCCAAGTGTGTCCCAAGAGCATGTTCTAAAGTATCATGGGCTTGGAGAGACCCGAAGACCTCTGAGTTCTCTCTCTTCCTTTCTTTTTAGCTCCTTTTCTCTTCCGTTTCCCTAGGCTGTTTTTGGCTTGAGCCCAGTGGACTCATACACCCGAAGACACCATCAGCAGATGACTATTAACATGAGAATGAGCCATGCTTTGTGCTTGCTTGTTTGCTCTTTGTGGATTTCCTTTGTCTTGCTATTTAGCATAAACTCTTTGGAAAGTTTTCTCTACCCAGAACCACCCCCTCGAGACCTAGACCTCGTGTTTACCTCTGAATGACAGCTGATATTGCACAACCTCTAGCTTTATCTCCAAACCATCATATACAGTTTGAAATACAATTCAAAATATTTGCAACAGATACAATTTTAAAAGGGTCCATATCCTTCACATTCTTCTTCTGGATCTTGTTCTAAATGTATTTGAAAATATGACAAACTCTTACAAATTCATTTTTTTAAAGCCCAGGAGAAAAATTAACCAAGCATGTAATTAAATACTTTTCAAGAGAAAAAATAGTAATTGTAAATAAACATATCTTAAAAGGTTGGGCTGGGCATGTTGGCTCATATCTGTAATCCCACCACTTTGGGAGGTCAAGGTGAGTGGATTACTTGAGCCCAAGAGTTTGAGACCAGGTTGGGCAACATAGTGAGACCCCATGTCTACAAAAATTAAAAAAAAAAAAATTAGCCAGGCTTGATGGCATGCACCTGTTGTCCCAGCTACCTGGGAGGCTGAGGCAGGAGGACTGTTTGAGCCCAGGAGGCCAAGGCTGCACTGTAACAGCATCAATGCATCACAGCCTGGGCCACAGGGAGAGGCCTTGTCTCCAAAACAGAAACAAAGAACAAGAGATTGATTTTATGAACAATAAAGAAGATGTAAAGTATAAGAAGAAGGAAACAGGTTTTTCTTTTCAGATTGACAAATAGTATAAAGAAAGACACTATGCAGAACAATGGAGGGCTGTGCGAATTTCTGCTGTCATTCACTGGGGGCGGGAGCCTCTCTGAAGGGCAGTTTGTTTCAAATTGTTTTCCTCTGAAAAGAAAAAGAAAGAAACAGTATGGATGATCTTAACAGTATAAACATGTAACAAATATTTTATTTGTTACATTTTTGTTACATTAAAATATAATAAGTAAAAATGTAACACTGTAATAAAATATTGGTAGAAAACAAGCATTTTTTTTTTTTTTTTTTGAGACAGCCTCACTCTGTCACAGTTTACTGCAGCCTCAACCTTCTGGGCTCAAGTGATCCGCCCCCCTCAACCTCCCTCGTAGCTGAGACTATAGAAGGGCACCCTACACTTGGCTGATTTGTTTAACTTTGTTTATTTTGTAGAGATGAGGTGTCACTATGTTGTCCAGCCTACCCTCAAACTTCTGGCCTCAAGTGATCCTCCTACCTTGGCCTCCCAAAGTGCTGGGATTACAGGCGTGAGCCACCATGCCCAGCTCTAAAGATTGTTACAGGCTTGATGGAGGTAGTGCCTGCTTAGAATAGCACCAAGGCTAAAACTTATAAACTGAAAGAGACAAATTTGACTACCTAAAACACTCTAAATGTCAAAAACATGAAGTTAAAACACAAACATCAAGTTAGAGAAAATAATTTCTGCAATGTGTATGAGGGACAAATGCTTAGAATTTATTTTACTCAGATATATGTACAGAAGTAGGTAACTAGGTTCTTAACATAGGAACTAGGTTCTTAAGATATATTACGAACTTAAGATAACTAGGTTCAAGGATATTCTTCGTAGGATGTGCATAATAGCAAAATACTGAACCTAAAATGTTCATAACTAGTTGGTTATTAATTGCATGTTCTGTTATGCCACTTAATGAAATAGACATATGGAAAAGATGTTAACATACATCTCTAAGTGTAAAAAAAGTCTACTAGATTCTGGAAGTTGCTTTCAGATGCAGCGTCTGGGTGTGCTTTGTGAAATTCCACCATGGCTTACCCTGGCCAGGGCCAGAAAGTACAGAAGGTTATGGTGCAGCCCATCAACCTCATCTTCAGATACTTACAAAATAGATTGTGGATTCAGGTGTGGCCCTATGAGCAAGTGAATATGCGGATAGAAGGCTGTGTCATTGGTATTGACAAATATATGAACCTTGTATTAGGTGATGCAGAAGAGATTCATTCTAAAACAAAGTCACGAAAACGACTGGGTCAGATGATGCTAAAAGGAGATAATGTTACTCTGCTACAACCTGTCTCTCCAACTAGAAATGATCAACGAAGTGAGAAATTGTTGAGAAGGATACAGTTTGTTTTTAGATGTCCTTTGCCAATATGAACATTTATTCATATTGTTCTGATTACCCTTATGTTATTACAAGATGACAATAAATGCTATGGGACTGTTTCTATTTTTTTAAAAAGTCTAAACAAGATATGCATAATAATCTATTCTGTTAAATATATATACATATATGTACAAATACATTTATATAAATATAAATGAGTCTAAAAGTATATACTAAACTTAAGTTATCTTTGGTTGAATGGGATAATAGGGGATTCACTTCTCACTTCTTACATTTCTATGCTTTTGAGTTTTCTGAACTGACTATGGAATGGATTACATATATATACATATGTAATAAACATATAATTTCTTTAGAGATGGGGTCTCACTACGTTGCCCACGCTGGACTGCAAACATCTGGGCTCAAATAATCCTTCTTTCTCAGCCTCCCAAGTAGCTGGGACAATAAGCTGATGATACTATGCCCAGCTATATATTACTTATATAATGAGAAAACTATATATACATTTAATTTTTTAAATGTGGCTCATGCCTGTAATTCCAGCACTTTAGGAGGCCGAGGCAGGAGGATCACCTGAGGTCAGGTGTTCGAGATCAGCCTGGCCAAAATGGTGAAACCCTGCCTCTACTAAAAATACAAAAATTAACTGGGAGTGGTGGCACATGTCTGTGGTCTCAGCTACTAGGAAGGCTGAGAGACAGGAGAATTGCTGGAACTCAGGAGGTAGAGGTTGCACTGAGCCAAGGTCACGCCACTGTACTTCGGCCTGAGTGATAGCACGAGACTTTGTCTCAAAAAAAAAAAAAAAAAGGATTCTGTCTTTTCCCTAGTCTTTCTTCTATTTTGTATTTTCCAAATTTCTATAATGCATTCAACAATAGTGTAATGTTGGGGCACAGTAAATGGGTTTTAGTTTTGTTTTGAGACAGGGTCTCACTCGATTGCTCAGGCTGATGTGCAATAGTGCAATCACTGCTCACTGCAGCCTCAGCCTCCCAGGCTCAAGCAATTCTCCCTTCTCAGCCTCCAGAGTAGCTGGAACTACAGGCATAGACCATCATGCCTGGCTAATTTTTGTATTTTTTGTAGAGACAGAGTTTTGCCATGTTGCCTAGGTTGGTCTCAAACTCTTGGGCCCAGGTGATCCTCCCACCTTAGCCTTCCTTATAATCCCAAGTGTGGGATTATAAGTATGAGCCACTGCACCTGGCCAGTAAATGATTTTATCCAAATTTCATTTGAAAAATGTAAGTTAGAGATCACAAATGAGAGGAGAAAGTTCATGTCACCAGCATCTTTAGTATTGTATGCATGCGACAGTCTTTAATGCTTTTTTATTCACTTTTTCTTACTTTCATCTTTTGTTACATATTTTAATTTTTTAAAACCAACATTGTTGTTAAAGAAAGAACACACATTTTCAAGCAAATAGAGCGTGTGGAAATAAAAAGAAATTTCACAACTATTAAACTTGGTTAAAAACATCTCAATATTACTGAGTTATAGCTCTTTTATGACATGGAGTGGGGTGAGGTAATGAATATATGTCAGGAAAAGGGACTCTCTCCCTTCCGTTCCCCCACTTCTATGTCCTCCTCTTCAAGGAGGACATGTCATAAAAGAGCTATAATGAAGGAAGGAAGGGAGGGTGGGAGGGAGGGAGGGAGGGAGGAACGAAGGAAGGAAGGGAGGAAGGAAGGAAGGAAGGAAGGAAGGAAGGAAGGAAGGAAGGAAGGAAGGAAAGAAAGAAAGAAAAAAGAAAGAAAGAAAGGGGATTTGCTTAAGCCCAGGAGTTTGAAACCAGCCCTGGTAATACAGCTTGTATGTCCCTACAAAAAATTTAAAAATAGCCAGGTACGGTGGTGCACACCTATAGTCTCAGCCACCTGAGAGGCTTGAGCCCAGGAGTTACAGGTTAAAGTGAGCTATAATTGCACCACTGCACTCCAGCCTGGGTGGCAGAGCGAGACCCTGTCCCAAATAAGTAAATATAGTCAAAAAACAACAATAAAAAGATACATGGGCCTGCTTCTCATGGTAAATTTTGATGAAGACTTTTGCTGTATTGAAAACTGCTCTTAGGGCTGGGTGCAGTGGCTCACACCAATGATTCCAGCACTTTGGGAGGCCAAGGTGGGTGGATCACTTGAGCCCAGAAGTTTGAGACCAGCCTGGGCAGCATAATGACACCCTGTCTCTGTGAAAACATACAAAAGCTAGCCATGCATGGTGGCACTTATCTGTAGTCCCAGCTACTCAAGAGGCTGAAGAGGGAGGATCACTTGAGCCTAGGAGGTTGAGGTTGCAGTGAGCTGTGATTGTGCCACTGCACTCCAGCCTGGGCTACAGAGTGAGACTCTGTCTCAGAAAACTAAAAGAAATTGCTCTTTATAACCTGTAACCTGAAGACTAAGTTCTATTTGCAAAACATTTTTGACTGTGAAGATGAGGAGTCTGATACTTTGAATAAACAAAACTCAGGTCCTGGCAAATATGTATTCAACAAAGTGTTAAATCTCCTCAATTCAGACACATTCCTTGCCTAAGATGACTCGTTGAGTTAGAGTCAGAACTAGACTCCAAGACTCCCCTAAACTTGTTTCCCTTTACTCCCTTTAGTGTTTTATGAAATAATTTTTTGAGACAGGGTATCTTTCTGTTGGCCACGCTGGAGTGTAATGGTTATTCACAGGCTCCGTTACTGCACGTTGCAGCCCTGACCTCCTGGGCTCAAGCATCCTCCCACCTCAGCCTATGGAGTAGCTGGGACTAAAAGCTCATATCACTCACTGCACCTGGCTGAAGTGACTCTAAGCTTGGAATTCAATGCCTCTTTAAAACTTAAGTGCGGACCAGGCACAGTGGCTCACACCTGCAACCCTAGCACTTTGGGAGACAGAGGGCTGAGGATTTCTTGAGCTCAGGAGTTGGAGACCAGCCTGGGCGACAGAGAGAGACTCTCTCAAAACGACAACAAGAAGAAAAAACCACACAAGTGTTTTTAGGTATAGCCTCTCACTATTTCTTGTTTCTTTTTAAATCTTAATGAGTTTCACTCTGCTATTGTGTGAGATAAATCCTTTTGGGACAAAACTTTAAGTAGATATGATCCTACTAGAAATTACTACAGTCTTTTAATTACAATGTCTATTTGGAATGACACTTTTCCAGAATAGCTCCAATTGAAGACTGAAGAAACAAGCAACTAAAAAACCAAAATAGGACTACAATAAATCCGTTTCCTTTCATAAAATTTTCTTAGGGCTTACCGAGGGGTTTTACACGTATTTGCTCATCTGAGCAATCAAAGGAGAAATTACATCATGCTGATTTGTTTTCAAATGGCCTGGACTTAACCTTCCTTGGTGGAATTCATAAACTGGTGGAAATCATAAACTACTGATATGACTCATCATCAAAGGCTGACGTCTCACACACCCAGAATGCATGGACCATTGTCTCAGACTCTACTCCTGATATTCAGGTTTAGAGGTAGATCACTTCTCTTTCAGAGGTGTCTGAGACAAACCCATGAAAACAGACTTGAGAGGTGGTATGGATCAGTGCAAAGAACCTCGGTGTCAGGAAATAGCCTGAATTTCAAAATGAAAACCTCTTATATTTATCTTGTTGGGCTTTGATTTTTCTCCCCCAGCTTTATTGAGGAAAAATTGACCAAAAAACTTACATATATTCATGACCAGGTGTGGTGGCTCATGCCTCAACACTTTGGGAGGCCAACATGGGTGGAGGAGTTCAAGACCAGCCTGCCCAACATGGCAAAACCCCATCTCTACTAAAAATACAAAAAATTAGCTGGGCATGGTGGTGGGTGCCTATAATCCCAGCTACTTGAGAGGCTGAGGCAAGAGAATCGCTTGCACTCAGGAGGAAGAGGCTGCAGTGAGCCACGATCGTGACATTACACTGCAGCCTGGCTGACAAGAACAAAACTCTTATCTCCAAAAAAACAAAGCACCAAATTAGCCTGGCATGGTGGTGCACACCTTTAATCCCAGCTACTCAGGAGGCTGAGGCACAAGAATCACTTGAACCCAGGGGAGAGAGGTTCCAGTGAGCCCAGATCACACCACTGCACTTCAGCCCAGGTAACAGAGAGACCACTCCATCTAAAATATATATACACACATACACATATGTATATTTAAGGTTTACGACATAATGATCTGATGTATGTATATACTGTGGAATGATTACCATAATCATTTTAATGCATACATTCATCAGCTCACCAAGTTACCATTTTGTGTGTATGTGAATGTGTATGTGTGTGACAACACACAAGATCTTCTCATCAAATTTCAAGTAACGCAGTATCCTTAACTATAGTCACTATGTCACTATGAAGTACAGAACGTATTCATCTTACAACTGAAAGCTTGTACTCTTTGGCTGTCATCTCCCTATTTCTCTCACCATCCCCCTTGGCCCCTGGCAACTATCATTCTACTCTCTGCTTCTGTGAATTGATTTTTTTAGATTCCACATAGAAGTGAGATCACACAGCATGTGTCTTTCTGTGTCTGTCTTATTTCACCCAGCATAATGTCCTCCAGCTTGAACCTTGTTTATTTGAATGTCAGCTCTGCCCTACCTTTACTAGCTATTTAGCCAAGGGCAGTTTTCATATCTTGTAAAATCGAAACAATTCTTACTTTACAGGGTGGCACTGAAAGTTAAATACGACAATGTATGAGATTTGTGCCCCTGCAATTACAGCCTAGCCCGTTGACATTCTCCTAGTTATCCAGGAGCCTATAGGTATAAAAAGCAAACACAGGAGACATATTTGCTGAATAATAATGTAGAACTGAAACTTGTGACTTAAAACAAATCCTCAACTGAAAATAGCATCTAGCAGAGATTTCCCTGCACTGGAAAGTGACATCACAAACAATTTTCTCAAGATATGACACTGATAGAAATCTCACAAAAGAAAATCTCAAAAAAAGGAGTGTCTTTTATGCTTAGCCATCACTCTCTAGCCTCAACTGGTCAGAATTTTGTGCTCTAGTCCCAAAGTTATTTTCAGATAGTCTGTACTCTCACATTAACCG